TGGTCCAATAAAAGAGATCCCATTTACCCAAAGAACCTATGAAATACAGGTTGGCCCAAAAAACCGAAAAATCTGTGAGGTCCATCCGTCACCCAACGCAGCCAGCAGCCCGAAAGCTTTCCTTGGAGGCAGCTGAGGGATGGGCTCAACGGGCAGGGGAGGGGGCACATCCAGCCCCCCCATGATGGGGCGATGATGAGGGCCCCTGTTGTGAGCGATGCATCGACACGGAGCCAGGCCCTGCGAGCTGCCCTGGGGTGATGCGAGATCCTTTAGCGGGTGCTGCGGGGTGCCACGTGACCCTCGCACCCTCCAAACCGCGCTTGGAGGTTTTGAAGACCCGACTAGACAAAGCCTTGGCTGGGATGATGCAGCTGGGGCTGGTCCTGCTTGGAGCGGGGGGGGTTGGACCAGATGCGACCTCCGGAGCTCCCTTCCCACCTGAACTTTCCCCGCACCCAAAAGAAACCCAGAGATTTCTAGCAGCTGTCCAGCGTGTCACGCCATTCTGGCCTGCGGTGGGCTTTCTGAGTTCTTTGCAGCAGCAGGATTGCTCTGTATGACTTTCCTGTTGTCAAAAAAGAAGTGGAAACGAAGAGCTGGCGTTTTCTGGAGTCTCAAGAAAGGGGCCTGGAGTCTAAACGGAGGCTGTGAGCCGCTGCCCTCGAGAGGTAACTGTGCCATGGTGACAAGGGAGATCGTGGCATGTGTCGCTTAGAAAGATTTCCCAAAGGGAGCCCCCTGCAAGGGTGCTTTATTTTTCTGACTGAAGAGCCGTGCGTGCAAATCAACACCCCCCCGCCGGGGACCTCGGCAGTGTGCAAAGGGAAGAGGGGTATGGGCATCCCTGTTTGAGAGCCGGAGAAACTGAGGCAGGGAGGGCCAGTGAAATTGCCCAGAGCATCAGGAATAGCCCCCCACAAAGCCGGGCACATAGAGAAGTGCGGGGGCTCGTTTCCCCATCAGCTCAATTGCCCCTGATCTAGGGAGAGAACCCCTCTCATCTACAAGTGACTGGACATTGCCCCTAAGCACGGTCTATTCCCGGCTGCTGCTTCAAGTCGCGCTGGTGGTTTTGGCAGAGGAGGTGGAGCTGCTCCCTAGGGTTAAGGTCTGGGCGAGAAGAAAATAGCCTGTGAATTTCAGACACCGCTTGGACACGTTGACAGGCTGGGAAGGAGCCGACCCAGCGATGTGCGCTGACTTTACCACTTCCTGCCCTCCGCTCTTCGTTACCATAGATGGTAACATCTGCTGCCGCAGCCTCCCAGCAGAGTGGAAACTAGCAATTCAGCCATCGCCCTGCCTCAGAGGTCCTAAATTTAACCGGCCATCTCTTCTCTGCTTCCAGGACTCTCGTGCTTGGCCAGGGCCAGTTGGTTTTGTCCCTAGGAATTAAATGCAAGGAATTAATAGCGTGCACATCCCGTCAATGTGGTTATACTGACATCTAGTGATGTATTGCAGACTAGACCTCATGAAATGCCAGCCCATTCCTTATTTCTACCTATTTCCAGTCTCACTAACGTCCTGCTTTTCTTTTAGCTTCTCTCATTCCTTGGAGTGTCAGAACAGCAGAGACTTCCTATGCCTGAAGAAGGGTGGTTGCACCTGAAAGCTTGCCAAGAACTTTTTCCCAATGACTCAGTTGGTCTAATAAAAGAGATCACATCTACTCGGAGAACCTGGCCTGCCTGTTAGGGTAGCTCATCATATTTTATGTTTTAAAGTTGCACCTGTTTATAGAGTGGTGAATTATAACATTGTTTAAAGTTTTCTTTTATATTGTCCTTAGACCGATACGGCTAAAAACAAAAACCCAGCCCATTGCAAAGCGTTCTGGTTGGGGCAGGGGCACAGATCCTGATTCCTAAGAGGGCAAGGGGCCAGGATACCTTTGAAGAGCTGGGTTTGGCTGGCTCGGAGGACTGGTAAGGAGGTTCTTTGCTAAAAGGCCCATTTTAATCTAGCCCAGCTCAGAAGAGACCACATGCTGTTTCCATTTAGTGGCCGTGTGAAATGAGTTCAGGGGTGGGACTCAGCCTAGTTCCTAATGAGAAAGATGGTTTCTCTCTCACTTCTCACCAGCGGGGCTGGCACTTTCTGTCAAGAAACAATTCAAGGGCTTGTCAAGTCACACAACCTAACTGCCACCCTCACTCCTACAGGTCTTCTTGGTCAAAGTCAGGCATGCAAAACTGGCAGGGACCATCTGGGTATGAAGTCCTGTCCCCATAGATTGTCGACAGCCATACCACAGACACGTAGTCCTAAAAGGTCCACTCTGGTCACCCCCACATGACAAACACAGATATAGTCTGGCACTTCATCACAGGCTTAGGATCTTAAATATGAAAAGAACAAACCAGGGCCTCCAAAACGATGACATACCACAGGAAGGGAGCAAGCAAGACCAAGGACCCTTGGGGCCTGCACTGGGGAGATGCGGGGGGAGGAATTTCTTAGGTGACGTAAGCCCAGGCGATGCTAGAAAGTGAACCATGTCCCACCTGACAGGGGAAGGCTAATGACCCAGTCCGATCTGCTGGACAATCCCGTCCTGGTCTGAAATCTGGTGATGGGCTTAGCCACCAGCTGGACGCTAAAGGGGTTTTGCAATACCTGGAGGAGCACCAGCTCTCTCCAACAACTCATTCCTCAGTTGTGCCCTATATACCATGCTTCAAAGGCAGGTGCAAAACAATGGAGGCCCAGTTGGGAGAGGCGGCTGTGGCTTTTCATGCCCTTCCTATCCGATGTACTTCTCCAAGTCCCCCGCCATGCCCTATGTTGTTAATACTTGGTAGGTAGGGTCGGAAGGGACCTGAGCAGATCATCAAGTCTGACCCCCAGGCTCTCTTTATTTGCAGGCCCTGCTGCTGCGTGATGTTCTTTCTGTGCTTCTCTTCCCTCAATGATTCACATCCTTCTCCCTTCTCCATCTGCAGCCTAGTTAGACGTTTCCATAGGGACCGATTAGCCTGATACAAATAGGAAGTGCAATCTGACAGCCTCCTTTTTTGCTGTCAATAACAACTTCCATTTCCATAGCGTTGCCCCGAAGGGCAGCCACTTCTGGAGTGGAACAGGGAAGTGAGTCACAGCAGCGGCAGACAGGAGTTTAAAATGTTTTTTGACATGAAGACAGAGAAAACTGGCTTGGCATGTGGCAGAGATCCCCTGGCATCTGCCCAGCCTGCCCTTGGAGGCGGGGATGGAAAGGAGGAGCTGGGGAAGGCAAGTGGCTCAGGGACCAGCAGACGGATCAGGCCGGTGACAGTGTAATTAACCCCTGGCTGCTCAGTAGCTGTCTGGCATTGGCCATTGCCAAAGGTCTCAGAGACAGTGACTCACTCTCCTCACAATGTACCTGGATGTTCCCATATTGTACCTTATAATGTACCTATAATGTTCCCATATTGACCCAGGAGCCATTTCTTCATGACCTTATCTAGCAGCCACCCCATGCCACAAAGCTTGAGGCTGGCTAACTCTTGCCTTTTCTATCCTAGCTGCTGAAGGTGCAGATGCTGCCTTAATCATATCAGCAGTTAATCCCTTATCTACGTCTTGCTACATTCAGTAATAGGTTGCAGCAGGGAGAGCCACCCACAGACTAATCCTATTTTGGATTGAAACACATTTCCTTTTATTCATTTAAGTGGGCTGCCTTCTCACGTCTCAGCGCACCCCCGGAGAATAGGGCACGGTGAATGAATAGCACTTGTTGCCGTTCTCTGTTGCATCGCCTTCTCTTCTTTTCCAACCAAATCCTTCCTGGTGGATCAGTTCTCTATTGGTAACTGCTCATGCAGTCAGTGCCTCTGCTCATTTTTCATTGCTTTCTGCTTTTTCTCCAGTCCAGCTGCAGCCTCTAGAGATGATCTGCCCTGACTAGCTATCTTGACTGATTACTATGTGTTTCTTTATCTTGAAAAGCTTGGTTGTTTAGGGCATGCTCAATCTCAGGCCCTGCCAGCCCTGAAAACAGAATTGTGATTGACCAACCATTTCCTAATACAGTGATTTAGAGCTTAAATCCATTGTACAGGGGGATTTTAAAGCAATAACCTTTACTGCACCTTCAAAGCACTTCTTTACATTGTCTGAAGTGCATTCACTTATTATGTCCTGGTTACTAGAGCACTTTACCAACAGCAACTAATCCCATTGACGTAAGTCAATGGCTTTAGGCCCTTTCAAGGTGGTTGATTTACCCAATGTGACACATCAGGTAATAACTGAGCTAGAACTTGGGTTTGCTTTCCTTTCAGGAGTCGTAAACTCAGGTCATTGGGCCAGGGTTGGGTAACCCCTAGGTTTGGACTGGTTTTCCTCTTGCCGTGACTGGTATGTGATAGTGACACCCCCACTCACTCTAACTGGCAGCGGACAAAAAAAAAGTGTAAGCTGTATCGGTTTCATTAGAAATAATTGTAGGTCACTAAGCTATGACCGGTGACTATATCACCTAACATCACAGTGACCCTTAATCCCAGTATTGTTTTGCAATATTGCTAAAACAAATCATTTGAATCTTTCTCAAATCTCAGATGGGCTTTTTGCTCTGAACCTTTTAACTCAATGGCATGATTGCAGATGGGCACCCCTGAAGGTCATAAAGGCTTGGTCTGCATGCCCAAGTTCAGCCAGCAGAGCTATGCAGGGGAGGGATGTGAAAATAATGCCCCTTGCAGTTGACACTGCTACACTGACAGGATCCCAGGGGCAGACTCAGCTCTCCTGCCAAAAGAAAGCTTCTGCCAGCAAAGCTTCTGCTATTTTAGGGAAGCTGCTATAATTTTGGTGGCAGAAAAACTCCAAACCACAGGGATCTATCCCTGTAGCTGTACCTCTGGCACAACAGCCTCTGAGTATAGACAGGCTACAGTCTTCTACATACCTCCAGGACATGGGATGTGAGAGCTTCCTCACCCTGCCTTGCCAATTGGCCTCCATCCTCCTCCTAGGGGACCACTCCTGGGGGTGAAGGGGGTTCTGATTTCATGGAGGTTTCCAGAAAGAGTGCTAATTATGACATTATGTCATAATGGCATTGGGGTGTTTGTATCATGGATGCTTGCCTTCTAGCTGGATGGAAATGGTCTGTCAGAATCAGATCACGAAGCCAATGACTAGCCATTAGGCCAGGGATGGGCAATTATTTCGGGCGGAGGGCCGCTTACCAAGTTTTGGCAAGCCATCAAGGGCTCCATGACAGGCAGCCAGGGGCAGATAAATATTAATTTTCTAAATTTTGTAGGGGCCCCGCAGGCCGGATAGAATGGCCTGGTGGGCCGCAGTTTGCCCCCACCCCTGCATTAGGCAATACCCTATCCTACCCTACCTTAGTTCTTATAGTGCCCACATCACCCCAGTATCTGAGCACCTTCCTGTACTGTAGTAAGCAACACGACTTACGTCTACTTCTCTATCCAAGGCCACTATTGAGCTGGGCTAGAATCAGCTACCCTGCAGTCCGGAGGTGAATAAATAGCTCTCTATCACCAGTCCCCATCAATCCTCCAACACATCCTGTGCCACTCTCCTTCCTAGCATGCTGCCAATCTGAAACTGTTGGTTTTCCCTGCAGGGCACCTGATGAATCGTTCTCTGATTTCAGTAACCGAGACAAACCCCCCGCAACCCCGACATAGGAACGAAGGGCTTCTCAGATGCCCCCCGGAGTCTGTGTTGCTTGGATGAGATGCATTTCCATCACACGTTATAATTAAAGCTAATTGACCTGGGACATTGCAGCACACATGAGGTTGCAGTCCTGGTAGCAATGTCCAGCAGTGTTTCATTGCTCCGGCAGATGGCGGCCTTCTTCAGTCCTTGAAGACTTTGTCCGGCTGACAGCATGGGGCCCTCAGTTGCTTCCTTGGGGTCCTGCACTGCATTTACTGCTAAGTGAGTCATTCTCTGCCTGGGAGATGTGGGTGGGAGATTTGGTATGTTTTTACACTCCCCCAGTCATGTTGGCCAGGGCAGCTGGAAGATCATTGCACACGTGGCAGAGACTGATGGCTGTGCTGAGCACGGTCCTGGAGCATTTCGACACTCAGTGGCTTTCACGTCCCTACCGTTGGCAGGGGGAGGAGGCAGAAGCTTCATTTCCAGGCTTGCAAGGATGTGGCGCTACGGTTCGCCCTCACATCAACAGGCCGGTTTTGTTTTCAGTTGATAAATAGCTGCAGCTTGTCACTTGTAAAAGAAAGAAAGAACAGCACGAGCTGTGCTGTGAGAAGCGGGTGCAGGCACACAGGCTTCCTTGCAGCGCCTTGTCAGTGAGCCTGGACCTGGTCTATCTGGAGGGCAGTACAGTCTCCAAGCTATGGTCAGCCCCTCTGCTGCCACGGCCAGGTGCTACCCAGGTGCCCACCCAGGGCAGGGGTTATATGCTGGCCTCTACCCCTGCGTTGGCATCGTGCCTCTTCAATACAGCCCGTGTTCAATTCTGCTAGAAGACGGGTCGCCCTTCTTATGTCATGAGGAGTCCTGGGACCCTCCTTGCTTTTTCCTCATTCCCCTTTCTGTAGCATTGTCTCCACTAGCAGACTCCGCTGTCATTAGCTGTGGGAAGGTTAGACCCCGTCCTGTCTGCAGGGCAACCTTCCCCTTTGCTGAGTGGGGAGGGATGCTAGCAACAAGTCTCAGCTATGAAGGAAGCAAGGATGCATTCTGCCTGAGCGTCTCCTTGTCAGCTCCTCTACTCTTCGTCTGGGCAAACCCTTCCAGCTCGTCTGGAAAGTCACTGCAGATTAAGTTAAACTGGGAATTTACAGCACGGAGGCTATTCTGAAATATCCCTTTCTATGATTCGATAGCTGCTCTGTTTTCAGAGCCATCCACAGCATCCCCTGCCCACAAGCAGCTCTTCCAGTGAATTTTCCCTCTGCCTGCAAGCCGTTCTTGCTTCCCATCTCAATCTAACAAAATGCCCCCCCCCGCTTTGCAGTTTCAGCTCCATAAAGGGGTCTTCCTTCCCCATCCTAAAGTCCGGCTGTTCTGTCTGGTGTTCTAACCCTTGTGGTATTTATTGATCGATTGATTTGCATAAAGCCCCAGCTCCTGGAGTCATGTGATTAGGTGAAACTTGTTTTTTTTTTTTTCCTTTTCTTTTTTTAATGAGGAAAATCAGCTCTTGTAGTTGCACAAGAGCCTGAACAGGTTCCTTCATGCACCTTACAGGCCCCGAGGAAAGAAAGCAAAGAAAAGAACTTCACAAGCCTACCATTTCAGAGAAAACTTATCATGTTTTTGAGTCGATGTCCTGATTTTTGAATGCTCAGGTTTGTCTGCTGTCTGTGCCCCACTGCCACGGACAGACGGTTTTACGTCACCGCTGGGTGAAGCAATCCCTAGCGGACCTAGCGGAGAAGGAGGCTGGAGGGGGTTAATGAATGCCTGTGAAGATCTCTGATCCTGGGCTGGCTGGTGCTAGGACACTGATCATCCTTTTGCTGGGCAATAAAGATATCAGGCTTATCAGCCTTGCTCTGGATTTCCTCATTAGTGGGTGCATGTCACTTCAGATAATGAGCACGGGGGTGGGCTCCAGGCGACAAAAGGGCTGGGCCAAATCCCAAATAGGCCCTCACCCTCTGTTCTCATGACGCTGCGTACTCCATCCGCAGCAGGCAGGGCAGACCCCGGGGTATGGGAGGAGCTGCCTGCTAATAGAGGTCTTTTCATTACGGAGGGAGAGTTTTGGACTAATCCCTTCGCTGCGCTGCAGATATTTGAGGCATGAGCTATGGTTTTGTGCCTATTGTGATCCCCTCTGCTGCGAGGCCCAGGCACTGCTCTCCTTGGCAGCTAGAGTGCGGAGGCCTCTTCAGGACTACCCCCCAGGGCAGCAGATGGGGCAGGTTGGGGCTCTTTCTCCAGAGTAAATTGGGTGTGAACAAATGCATTGTTAAACTCTTGCTCATTTACCCTGGAGCCATGACAACTAGCCACAGCATTGGGCCCCTGGCTGGGCCTGGCAGGTGCTGGGACGGGAATCCTAAAGGGGTGTGATGGGGGCAAAGGGGCTGCTAAGGAGGAAAAGGCTAGGGGAGAAGAGAGCATCTCCTGCTTGACCTTTTAATGCAGAGGATAAAACCACAGCTTAGGACTTACGAGTCAGGGAGCATTGGGGTGGAAGGGAGTCTGCACAAGGGAGAGGTCTGATAAAGGGTCTTGCTGAGTGAAGGCATGGGCATAAACCATACCAGAGGTGCTGGGCAGGGCGCCCAGGAGTTCAGGGGCCCTGGCCCATGATGCAGCCAGGCCCCCAGGCAAGGAGAAGGGCAGAAGCGCTGGGGTTGTGGGGGGTACAGGGCAGGGTGGATTCAGAGGGGCATGCACCACTCACGCCCATGGACCTCAGAGCAACCCCCAGGAGACCCCTTGCTGTTGGGTGCATGTCACTTCACACCCCGACTTGCTTTCGTACCCGGGAGCAGCTCTTCTAACAAAGCCCCAGTCTTGCTCACCAGCCCTGGGGCTCTTATCCTTTGGCTACCAACCAAGGCAGCTTCTCTCCTCCCCCCTCTGCCTTGGAACCGAGCACAAAAACCTCAGCTGTCATCTTGTCCCTGCCTCTATATCCTTGACGGACACTGGCCAGGGCTCGGGCCGCTCTGTTCTGCTAGACATCGAGTTACTTTCTGCTTCTTGGATTCTTGGCCTAATCTGGAGTCTGAGGAGCATTCCCATTTAAAGGCTAATTCTTTTGGCTGTTTTTAAATTCCAGCCCTCATTACCGCCCTGTGCTTTGTTCTGTAATCAAGTGCAGGAGTCATTTGCCCTGCACCCCACCCTGAGCACAAAGAGGCCTCTCTGGATTGGGGCTTTGAGCCCTGCTAATGTCTTGTCATCTGTCTGCTATTTATACCACGCCAGAACCGTGCATGGCTCTTACCAAAGGGAGCCCCCTGCACAGTGCCATGGGCATGAAAGCAGCAAGTCCGGCCTGGGTTCCTCCCTCCCCACAAGCCCTGCATTAGCAAAGGTGCCACAAAGCGATGGGCAATCCCACCCTTGCTGTCTTTCCTGTTGGCATTCACGCTGCCCAGCAGTGCTGTGCCAAGCTGCAGTCCACCCCTGTGGTCCCCATGTCACCTGCTCCCTTGCCTCAATCACAGTTCTTCCTCGCCACTTGAGTGCCTCACTGAACTCACCTTCATTAAAAGCCTGCACCTTTATCAGGACAGAGGCTTCTAACTTTATTACTGCTCACTCTGATCCTCTGGCATGGGCTTGAAGGAAAGTCCCAGGCCCCTCCCTGCCTCTTGCTTTCCTTATCTAAAGCAAGCCGGGTATAAATATCCCCCGATGGGGGGGAACTAATGCTAGCACAGCACTCTGTAGGGGGACAGTGCTGCACAAGTGTTAAGTGTCAGGTTAGCACCTCTCCTGTCCCCAGTCACCCCTCCTGTTTCCAGCGTCTGGGCTCCAAAACCTCCTATTTCATCCCCTCTGCCTTTTTAAGAGGAAAAGAGTAGAACCTTTATTGGCTTCTTCCAGTGCAGTCACTGAGCAGGGAGGTAACAAAGGGTTAAATGTATGAGCAGCACATTAAACTGCCCTGGATTAAGGCATTCCATGGCTTTAGACCTGCATGAACTCGGTCCCCCAGGGCTGCAAGGAAGAGGAGGAGGAGAGGAACATGGGTCTGAGGAGCTGGGAATGCACAGGGCTCAAATCGCACACAGCAAAGACAGGAGATCATCCAGTTCACTGACATTCCTCTGTGAAAAATCAGCACGGCATCTGCTCTTGAAGGCTAGATGGACCCCACGTGGACCTGTGGACTCTGAGCCTCTTGGTCCAGATGCCTGTATGAACCTTGAGCACAGGGAAAGGAGAATAAAGAAGAAAAAAAAAATCTACCATGCTAAGATAGGTGACATTGTCCCCCTTTTATGGAAATTAATATTAATAGCTCATTTGGTTTCCATACAGACATATACAAATAGGAACAAAACCAAGTTTTTCTTCTATTTACAACATCCTTAAGTTAATTAATTAGGCTCTTTATAAAAAAAAATGGCTCTTCCTAAATTAGTGTCATATTTACAGACAGTACGGGCGAGTTTGCCTTTGGCATGTTCCCGTGGACAGTGTAACATACACCAAGCAGCACGTCCATAGTGATCCAGAGAGAAAGAGTGCCCACATCCGTGCTCATGGGACCTGGTACATGACTGCGAGACAGGCAGTAGGCACAACTCTAGCGCATATTACAAGCCAGAACCCTCTGGCATGGGCGTCTGTGCATTGCAGACAGCTGCATGGCGATTTTGCTTAGTGCTTGTTTGCTAGGAAGCGCATTAGTAGAGTCCGGAGGAGATCCCGTGTCATGCACTCTATCGGCAACCAATGCATCTCCCATAAGGCACGAGCCCAGTGCACTGCAGATCCTCCTTCCTTTTGGCTGCAGATGCTCTGCAGAGCCCTGCATAGCACCGGTACTTCCCGAGGCTGGGGTAACATGTGCTACATCAGCATCAGCTCAGTCCAGTCCCAGAGAGGGGCCAGCCCTGAGAGAGCCCAGTGCAGAAACAGTGCACAGAGGGGAGCCCGGGTCACACGATGTTGGCGAGTTCTGTGGAGTCTGACTCTGAGCTGCTGTTGCTCTCCTCCCTGCTGAGCAAAGGACAGAAGTGCGTTAGACAGAACATCGTGTCTTACCCAGGGTGGGGTGGGTGGGGGAGCTTGCGGCTTTGTAGTGAGAGCCAGTGAGCCAAAGGGTGTCCTGCCACCAGACCATTTATCAGGCATCGGGTCTCCAGCCCCACTTGTCTGCTGGCCACTCTGCCCAGAGCACCAGCACGGTGACAACTGGAACAGCAACTCTGTTTTCAATACTTTCCCTCCCATCAATGGGAACTGGATTGAGACCCCCCCCACCCAACCCATGTCACCAAGGCTGCTGGATGGCAGCGGGTCCCCCTAAGCCCACAGGAAGGGGGCACCATTTCCCTATGCCCAGCTGTAACCCCCCCCCCAAACACACACACACACACCACCACACACCCACAGGTCCAAAGTCAGCAGATGCAGAAAGTGAAAGGGCAATAGAGGCCTTGGAGCACAGCCCACACTGGGGAACATGCAGTACCGGCACAAAGAAGCAGTTATAGGAATGGGTGGTATATGCCACCCTTTTGCAATGAGCTACGCAGCAGAGAAACCCAACACTCATGCCTGTGGGGAGTAAGGTGCACACTGGGGCGGCTGCTCCAATTTTAGTGAGTGATGATGTATGTGCCATGGCACCAAGATGCTGCCTGTACTGCTGGGGTGAGGCCTAGGTCCCTGCTGTGCTGCTCTCTAGGGCACCCCTTCCTGCAGGACAGGTGGCTCCAGGGCTGCGGGCCTCTTGTGCTTTACAGGGCTGAGGGGAAGACAGCATGAAGCCATCTGGGGGCTCTAGGGTTTCACCACTCCCTGGGACCTCCAAAAGCCAGCTTAGAGCAGCGTCATGGCAGGTCTGACCAGCCCTATGACCATTCAGGATGCTGGGCTGGACCTGGCGCAAGTCCCAGAGCTCTCTGCAGCACCCTGGCCAAACCAAGTGCTCGTTCCTTTCCACCCCGTGGTGCTGAGGAACCTGCCCCAGTGCTTGCCCTCACCTTAACTCTTGCAGGGCTTTCTTGTTCTCCCTCCGCTTCTTCTCATCGATGGGGTACAGCTTGAAGAGGAGCAGGCCCAGGAGGATGAGGGCCACTGGGGCTGCTGATACCAGCACCCTCAGTGTGGTGTGCACTGCCTCAGGCTGGGAGCAGCCCCGGGTTTGGTACCCTGCAAAGCTACAACACAGCAGCAGTGTTAAAGCAAGGGAGAGACGCACCAAATTGTTCCCAACTCCATCCCCCTCCACCCTGCCAGGCCCAGCTCTCCTGGGAAGAGCTTGGCATTGCTGGTACTCTTCTGCTGAGCCTGTGGCCACTGCATTGGCACAGGGTCAGACCCTCCTCTCAACTGCCAGGGAGCATCACCTACAACTCCTTTGAATGCAAAGCCAGGACTCCACAAGTCTGCAAACTGCCAGCCTCTCCGCTTCCTTGAGGAGGAAGGATAGCCCAGGGGTCAGGGCACGAGCCTAAGGCTTGGGTTCAGATTTGTGCCCCAAACTCCCTGCATACAGTCATTGATTGAAACAGGCTGCAACATGCTTAGATGCTACAAAATACTCCATCCTGGGGCCATATAAAGTACCACAGACATCACATGGGACAAGCAAATCCCATGTTCTAGCACCTCCATTCAGCTACCATGCTAGCTCCTCATCAGGGGAACTACATTTTAAGGGCTTCCTTTGCTCCCATTCACCACAGACTGGCACGACCCTGTGCCATGATGTGCACGGGTGTCTGAAGTAGCCACTGGTGCCGACTGTTGAATTCAAAACCCCAGCTGCCTTCATGGTTTTGTGGCTCAGAGTGGAGAAGGCTCCCCCCAGGGCTGAGGGGGGCCTTCCTTCTGTCCTAATCTGAAAGACCCTGCCAAAGACTCACTCTAAACTGAGCGTGGAGACTCCCAGAGACACCCCAGAGGCGAACTTGGTGAAGAAGACATAAAAGGAGAAGAAAATTGCTTCATGGCCACGAGAGTCAGGGTGCTGGAGACTGAAGTCATCAATGACATCCGGCAGCATGGACCTGGGGGGCGAAGAGGGGAAGAGCCATGCTCAGAGCCAGGCTAGCAAAACCCACGTGTCTGCAGTGCAGACAAGCCTTCCTCTTTCAAAGCAGAGGCAGCTGCTTCCCACTCCCCAACCACACACACACACACACAAACACGCTATGGACTTGTCATATGCTTATCGACATGCAACACCAAGCATCCCAAGGGCAGGAGTCTTTTCCACCACCGCTCAAGACTCATTAAGCAGCCCCTATATCTGGTGTCACGATCTCCAGCAGGGCAGACAACCACCTCAAACCCAAGGCTTCCAGTGGCTCATCACTGGGTATGTCATGGCTCAGCGGGGACAGAGGATGTGGGGTTGTAGCTCATAGGAACAAGGGACTGGCAGGGACATCGAGTCCTGCCTGCCGTGTTCACAGGCAACCATTCACCCAAAGACTTCTCCTACATCACCATGGCAAACGCTCTGCACAACCACAAGGCACACAACCACAAACCCCAGGAACATCCTACTACATGCCACACGTAAAAGCAGGAGTTGGGGGGAAGCAGCAGTGCCCTGCCACTAAAGTGACAGGGAAGCAATTGCTTAATACATACACAGGGGACCCTAGAAGAGCACCAGACCCCTCACTACAGAGGAAAGCGAAACCCCCCCCATAGTCTGGGATCAGTCTTGAAGACTGACTCCTTGGGACGCCCTCCCCATCTGGACCAGCACCATGCCACACCACCTATCCACCCAGGGACCCTGCCGGCGACCCCCCTCTGGACAACACCTGCTAGACAAAGCCCCCTTTCCAGCCTGGATAGGTAGCTATCACCCCCACCCCATCTTCAACCAAGGACTTGGACTCTTTCTCTTCCCTACCTGGACTCCAGCCCTTCCACTGAGTCTTTCTCCTGCTGCCATTGTGCATGTATGCGTGCGTGCATGAGAACCAATAACTTCATGGAGCTGTGTAGTGTGTTGTCTGTTTAATAAACCTGTTATTTGGACCCCTGAGTTGGGTTTGCTTTACTGCAGTCTGGCCCTGCTTCAAATCTCTGCTCCTCGCCCCCCTAACTTCTGTCTCATTTCTCCCTCTCCTGCTTCTAGCTCACTGCCACCTCCAGCATCTGTCCTGAGCTCCGTTTCTTTGCCACTATCTTAGCCCCACTGCCTTTCTCCCTGAGCTCCCAGGTGTCTGCCTCAGTTTCTTTCCTGGCCATCTCCTCCTCGCCACCACTTTTCTGCCCCCGCCCCACCCAAATCTCTCAGCTGTCTGCCTCAGTTTCCAGCCCCAAGCTCTCAGGTTTCTGTCTCTCTTTCCTGGCTGTCTCCTCCTTGCTACCACGCTTTTTTCCCTTGCACCAGTGACCTCGAGTAACCCCGGGGCCACTTGATCTTAAGTAAACCCAAGTCTCAGTTCCTCAGCCAGATTTTCTCTAGTCCACCGGTTCTAATCCCGGTTCTGGCAACTTTCACTCCCTACGCTTTAACTCTCTCTCTCACCTTAAACTTCCCCCAAGTATCCCAGGTAGTCCAGGCACACACATACATACTGTACCATCCAAGTTAGGAACTTACTTGTGTGAATTTGTAGGTGGGCTGTATGTGTGTGAACTGGTGAGTGTGTACACACACACACACACACACACACACACACACACACACACCTCTCTCTCTCATTGTGTGCATGATATACAAATTAGTGATCTGTGTATGAGTACTGAATGTGCGGGTATGGACAAGTGATTTTTGTCTAACTTTTGGGGTGTATAGTGTATGTGCTTGAATCGGTGATAGGCATGTATGTGCCTAGGCTAGTTTGGATGCATATGTCCCTGAGTTGGTAGAGTGTGTGTGTGTGTGTGTGTGTGTGTGTGTGTGTGTGTGTGTGCGCACGCGCGCACACACACCTAATTGATTTGTGTGTTTGTATATGTGCAATTGTGTCACACCCTCCTGTCTAAGAGCGCAACATTGAGATCCTGAGAGTTGGCCTGACCCCACAGGGCAACAGTCTGACTTGAAGGAAAAATTCCTTCCTGACCCCAGGTTTGGTGACTGGTCTGCCCCCAAGCACAGGAGCCAGACCCACCCTTAGCCAGGACCCTCCAAGTTCCTGAAGTAGCAGGACTCGGACTTACCAGGGCAAGAGAAAAGCAGCAGCAACGCTGATCCCGGCTGCAATGGCTGCAAGGTAGGTGACGACGAGGTTGCTCTCTATGACGACCACCAGGATGAGGAAGGGGATGGCAGACTGCATACGGGAGGAAGAGACAGTCAAGGACTCGCCTTATGGAAAGGCCAAGAGGGTCTTGAGAAGCTAATGGGTTTTCCCTCATCTTTCCACCCATGAGCACTTAGGAAGGTGCTGGCTGGCGGCCTGGGTTCTGCCCCAAAAAGGCAGAGAGAAGAGAAGCAGAAGCAACATACACTTCCTTACAACGGCGGCACAGAGCACTCGCTCCTGCCTGGCCAAAGGTTCAGTTCTCTGGTTGCCCACAGGGGCTGTTTTTTTTCGGTCTCCACTGCAAGAATCACCCCCGAGACACTCAGCAGTAAGCCAGCCTCTGCCCCAGTGCCCCATTCGCCTCCAAGGGGCTACTCACCGAGATCCCCACATAGACAGCCGTCTTCTTCCCAAAGCGCGTGAGGAACCACTGCCAGAGGGGGATGGTCAAGGTGGCCGAGAGCTGCGAGAGAGGGGCAGAAGGGGGGAGTTATATTATCTGGGCAGCCACAGTCTGCCTATAAGCCCTGGTCCAACAAGCCACATTGCTGCACTGGAGGTGAGCAGTCATTGAGGTAGGACAAGGATGCTGACTTGAGGCCAGGCCAGCTCAGACCTATCTCCATCTTTGTTCATAGACTGTAAGGCTGGCAGGGACCTCGGAAGATCATGGGGTCCAGCCCCCTGCACCAGGCAGGAAAGACAACTGGGGTTAGGTGGCCTCAGCAAGGTGCCCATACAGTCTCCTCTTGAATTTTTTTTCCCCCCCTGTGACTCCCCATCAGTTCCTTCCTTCCTTCACCCCGAATCACAGCCCCTGCCTCCACATCCTTCACTGCTGGTCACAAAGGTGCCAGGAGGGCTGCGCGGCTGCTACTCCAGGAGAGCAGGGACCGTCTCCTCTTTGTGGGGAGCAGAGCAGAGCCCCCAGGCCTGGCTCAGGGAGTCCCTCTCGCATGAAACAGGCCCTCCCCGAGAGCACAGTCCCTTGAGGTCACGCTCTCCCCTCCCCGCCGAGCAGACATTTGCCTTGGCATCTCAGGGCCTCTCCTGGCTCCTGCCAGCCAGCGCCCGGGCAGTCAGTCCTCCCAACAGTTACATAACCCAAGCTGGCAGCACTGATTCTGGGGGAGGGACCGGTCACCTCGTGCCAGCCTTGCTGCCAGGAGGGATGGACAACACACCCCCAGGCCTCCCCCTGGCAGACCCGCGCAGAGAGGCTCAGGGAGGTTGCGAGTGCCACCTCCATGGGCACACGCGCCTTTGTCTGGTCTTGCTCACCAGGGCTGCAAGCCAGGTTGCCCTCCTCCCCTCAGCCCCACCCCTGCTGCCTTGTGCTTGCAGCCGGGAAGCCTGCATGCCATTGGCAAGGCAGAGGTTGCTCTCTCTTCCTCTTCTTGGTGCTCAGGAGCTGTGGCACCAGGCAGGCCGGTATTTGCGTGGGATCCAGCAGCTGCACAGATGTGCCCAGACCCATTCCTGGGTAGGGGAGTGGTGGGAAGATCTAAAGACAAGGGCCCAGGGCTTAAATCAGCTTCCCAGGAGCGCCTGTGCCAGCTCCAAACACTTTCATGTCTCCCACCCCTATGAGTCAGGCCACCCCAGGGCCCTGGAGGCCTAACCAGGTCTATCCTAGCATCTGCACCCTGGGAGCCTGCTCCTTCGCCCTTGATGCTGCACCTGTGAGCCCAACATACTGTGGGCAACGTATGAAAATGGGCTCACAGGAGCCCTCAACAGGTTACGTGGGTGGGCAGGGATTGCTCAGAGCCCCACCTCAGCCCCGACACTGGCCGTGTCTACCGTAGGACCAGGTATCCCAGACCCAAGACCCACTTTTCTCCATCCTGAAACCCATCTGAACTCGCTCTCGCTGCCTTTCTGGAGTGGCCTGGCCACACTGGGCAAGACAGTTCCTCCCAGGTCAAGGCAGATGAGCTCCCGGGAGCGTTTCACAAGCCTCCTTTGCTAGAAGAGGGGGCTTGCTTTCCCACAGCTGAGGAGACATGAGAGCTGGTGCATCACAGCCAGACCCATGACAGCTGCCCTGGGTGGGAGGGGGCATCGCGTGGACCAGGTCTTTGTTGGGCTGGGGACCCGAGGGGAGAAGCACGTTTTCCAGATGGCCCTGGGATCAGTCTCCTGCCTCAATGGCTTTCAAGACTTCGCATTTCCTTAGAGCCCTGGGAGGATTTTTCCTTCCTTTCATGGCCTTTCTGGCAGGGCAAAGCATTTCATGCCACAATGGTCCCCCACCCCCGCGCTTCCCCATCGATCAGCGCGGAGAGGGTTCCCAGACGAGCTGCTCTGTTCCCTCCATTCAATGCCTCCCTGCGATAAACACTCAGGGCTCCTTTTCTTCCCCCCCTCATGAAAAGAGAGAGAGAAAAAAAGAACCCGTGAACAAAAGGCCGCATGGCTTTTATTCTCCCCCCTTCCTGGACAGCTTTGCGGGCAGACAAAGGGCTTGCTGTTCTCGCCAATGGGCTGTGCCTCTCCAGGAACCATGTTTAGTACCATGACGCCCTCCCCCCTCTCCTTAGGCAACCTCAGGCACCTTCCTTTCCATGCCAGGGGTTTTCCAGCCCCATCCCCTCACCCCTCTTGCATCATCTGAATTCCTCTTCTACCTCAGACTCCCGTAAGTCATGTTCCCTTCCATCCCCAAGCCCTGCTGGTGGCTATGACACTACTTTGTTACTCTCTATTGTCCCCCCTTGAGTGTAGGGGGTGGACAAAGGGTTATGATAAACCTATTATTGCTCATGAACCTTATTACAGAAGTGCCTAGGGGTGGGAGACATGAAAGATAGTCAGCCCCTGCACTGAAGGTATTACACAAAGATGGAGAGGCGGCGGATAAGCGTACAAGCACATTCAGTACATACCATGATGGCCAGGAGGATGTTCTGGAAATCGTTGCGGAAGCCCAGGGTGTAAGTGCAGAACAAGGCAAAGTTCCCTTCCAGCAGCTGGCAAGGAGGGAAGAGACCCGCCACGTTAGTGGAGAAGAGGGGGAACTCTGCTCCCACCCATGCCTCCCATCCCACAGTCCAAATCTCCGAGGAAAATGTGCAAATTGTACATGGAACCAATTCCTTGCAAGCCCCAAGCCAGTTCCATAGGGCCAAGGCTAAGTGCTCCGGCCAGTCCCCGTGCGTGGCTTGCAGAGGCCAGCAGAGCCCCGGGCAGATGTTCTGGGAGAGTGCAACCCCATCGAGCAGCTCATAGCCCAGCTGCAGTTCGCAGGGATTCAGGAACCTGCCCCTGCCCCCTCTGCAAGTCGTGCACTTCCTTCCCACTCCCCGGTGGGCATCCAGCTGCCTTCCTCCTCCCCGGGGTCCCTTACCATGAAGGCCAGAGAGGTGAAGAGGAAGCCGGTAATCAGCTTGATGTAGGCACCATGGTTCATTACCAGCTTCAGCCCCTGGAAGAAGGAGACGGGCTCATCTGACTCGAGCTTAGAGGCTGTTGGGAAGCAAAGCGGGACAGGTGGGTGATTAGACACAGAGAGAAACACATTTAAGGCAGGCTAGAGTAATGGCCACAAAGGCTATAACATGTCTCCTGTTTGCCCATGGCTTGGAAAGACTCAAGACAGCTGTGCTCCGCATACAGAAACACCCTGCCTGACTCACACTTGGGAGACTCTCAGCTAACAGCACCTCCCTCCAACCAGACTGATCTTCCTGGATGCTGCAGGGCATCCATCCTCAGCACCCTGGGAGGTGGGTCACTATTAGTCCCATTTTACAGGTGGGGAGATAGAGGCCCTAATGCATTAAGTGTGCTGACTAAGGTCACACACCTCAGGTCAGTGGCAGGGGATCAAGATACTGGAGTCCCCAGCCCCCATACCCCTGCTGCATTCGTAGAATGGGCTTTTTTACTAGCATTAGTCCTTGTCCAGAGCAACTGTCCTGCAAAGAGCACAATGAAAAACAGCTGGGCTCAGACAGAAGTCCCATTCAGCACTATCCTAGCAGCCACAGAGAAATCTCAGGTCCAGCTGGCATATGGGAGTCTAGACATCTGCCAGGCAAAACCAGGCAGGGAAAAGTTTGTCCAGCAAAGGCCAGACAATTGGCAAATCCTCCCAGCGTCCTGCAGCAACGTGGCCTCCAGAGATTCTCCTGCAAGACAAGGTGCCTTTCTACTGGAGGCTGATGCATGAGAAACAGAGGCTGGGGGGGCTGTCTATCTGAGGCTCTGTTCTCTTTCTATCCCCAGGGCTCCTGCTCCCCTCTCAGTGTCTTACTAAGAGGCAGGAGCTGACAAGACCAGAATGGGAGGAGAGAGAAAGTAGTGAGAGCTCCCAGCCCCCAGCAGAACTGAAGGAGGAAATGAAGGCAAGAACCTACTGATGCCAGGGGAGGATGTCTTCCACCCCTGATATGCATCCTTCAGCAAAGAGCCTCCCAGGAGCCCTGCGCCCCCCCTTGCCCCATTTAGCTGTGCCACAAGTGCTCCATTCTCTGCTGGAATAGGCTGCTGCACCCTCGACACTGCTTCTGCAGCACTTCTGCGGAAGGATCTCTGGGGCTAGCATGGACACGTGTTGTTAGCATAGCAAGGAGCGGGTAGCCATGGGTGCGGCTCTTTGATCAGCAGTATGTACTAAGGGAGCTCACATACATTCAAAGGCTGCTCCAGTCAAAAGGCCTTTGGAGTACAATGGGACCCACTGAAAGGGGTCAACTCATCAGCAAGCAGCCCTGGCACCTCCTGACTGACTGGTGTGGCATCACCCAGCGCAAGTGAGGGCTGTTCCCCCTTGAGAAGCCCCATGCCACAAGGCAGCTTCCCGTCCCCACCATGTCCCTTGCTTTCTGCCAACAGGAGCCAGGGAGTAGCCCGAGGTTTATTGTTCCAGCCTCTGGCACACGTACCTCTCAGGACGGCAAGATGACCTTTGCCACATTGCACTGAAATCATCCCTGGTGCCCCACCAAGCCCGTTCAGCCTTGCCCAGCTCACACTCTGAACTCACCTCGCTGCTCCCGCACGCCCAGCGACAGGATCACAGCACAGAGGACGTAGATCCCGCCAATGACACCGGCTGCGATCATGTATGCATTCTTCTGCATGAGACAGAGAGACAGACACGGACCTCAGTGATGGAGGGCACTCCAATATGGCCCTTGGGGACCCCAGACTGATGTACCCTCGTGCTGTACAACCACAGGCCAGGTATGGCCCATGGAGCAGAGCCAAGCCTGCAGAGACAGCCCCACTCTCCACCCCAGATTGTGCTGAAGCCTCCTCTGGTGTCTGCTCTGCAATCAATGCTCACTAGGAAGCAAAGGCCAGAATGGCAAAGGGATGAGGTGCCCAAGTGACTACAGAGGCATCTCTGTGGGCCTGGAGGACTTGAGAAAACTCATGTCCTGTAAGCACCTGACATTGGATTCTGTTGCAGAAGCAGTTTGGAGGAGTTCTAGGGAGAAGGGTGATGAAGGGAGAAGGAAATGGGAGTAGGGTAGGGGCAGGATGCCTGGATGCAGCAGGCCTACCGTGTCCGTGAGCGAGCCAGTGTTGTGGGTCATGTTCACCTCTTCCATGGCCACTGAGGAGTTGATCCCAGCCTTTTCTTCGCTGTGGATGCATGGGGTGTCCACCTTGCCCACAATCTGCCCCTGGATGGCTGTGCCCAGCACTGTGCCCAAAACCTCCACAGTCATACCTGCACAGAGGAGCCACACACAGCATCACAGCACTGCCAGCATTGGGGCTCAGGCCCACAGGGGCAGGGAGAGGGCTTCAAAATCAGCTCCTCTGGAGGCAAGAGGCCCAAGCTGGATCAAGCTATGCCCAGTGCCTGGGCAGCCAGAGGCAGAAGATCTGCATACAGAGGTGCTGCTCTCCTGTGGCTCCGTTCACAGTTCTGAGTCCTTTCTGAACATGGCTCCCATGCTCCTGGGAGGGAGAAGTCCCCAGTGGGGAGACTGAGGAGCAGAGAGGGGGTGCAGGCTAGCAGCAAGGGTGGAGACAGAGCTCGGGACCTCCCAGTCCAGGTTTCTTGGTTTGGCAATGCCCTAGAGCGAGCAAGGCCTCAGCTGGGCACAGACTCCTGCCAATTCAAATGAGGCCACTAAACAAAACCCTTCGACTGGGGCAACTAGAAGGGCCCCCTAGTTTGGGGACAAGGACACACAGGGTGTAAGAGCTGCAATCCAGGATGCAAGCAAAGAGCTTCGACACCCTTTTCAAGCAGGCTGCTCAGGCTCGCGCATACACCCCCATTTCTGGGTGAGGACATGACCTGCCAACTGCACATGTCCTGTAGGGATCACGCACACAGATGCATGCCTGAACATGCAGGGGGGGCAGGACATTCATAGACATTATGGCTGGAAGGGACCCTGGAAGATCATCAAGTCCAGCCCCCTGCCCCAGGGGCAGGAAGTTAGCTGGGGTCACAGGATCCCAGCAAGATACATGTCCAAACGCCTCTTAAAGGAGTCCAGAGTAGGTGCTTGCACCACCTCTGGAGGCAGTCTGTTCCAGGCCTTGGGGACTTGGACAGTAAAGAAGTTCTTCCTTATGTCCAGCCTGAAATGGTCTTGGAGAAGTTTATGACCGTTAGACCTTGTCATCCCATGGGGCGCTCTGGTGAACAGGCATTCCCCCAGATCCTGATGCATACCCCTTATATACTTATAGACTGCCACCAGGTCCCCCCTGAGCCTGTGCTTCTCCAGACTGAAGAGTCCCATAGCTCTCAGCAAATGCAAGGGGGGAACCTAACTGTCTTGGCAACCAGCATGCAAAGCAACATGACCACAGCACTGATGTCAGGGACTGCATGTGAGCCCTGGACAGGCCATCAGTGGGGCTGCAAAGGGAGGAGGGAAAGGCTCTTACGATAGGCAGTGGCAGAGTCCCGCTCGCTCTGCTCCCGGCTGATGAACATGGTCAGCGCTGAGTAGGGGACATGGAAGCACTGCAAGGAGACAGGGCAAGGAGAGAGAGGGTTAACTCTTTGTTTCCAGGCAATACCAGTTGGCAGAACTCATGCCAGGCACATGAATTGGAGCAGCAGCCAGCATGGGGCACAGGCCAGCTCAGGACTGCAGGAGTCCAACGCAGCCAGTGGACTCCATCCAGGTCCAGCAAGTCTGTACCCTGTGATCTCTTCCCCATTGTTGCATGCCACTCTCAGCACAGCTTATACCAAAACTCCCATTGGGGTCCCAGTCACCGGCTCCATCATTGGGCTGCCCCTCTCTCTCCCCCTGACCCGGGAAGCCCAGCAGTGCGGGCGAGGGCACCGCTCACCGTCACAAGGGTCTGGAACATGCAGTAGAAGAGAAGATACCACATCATTCGACCGCTGGAGACGTCTGGCACAAACCATATCAGAAAGTAGGAGATCACGGCAAATGGTGTGGAGAAGATGATCCTTATGGGAGGGGGTTGAGAGACAGAAAGAGAGAGCATGAGTGCTGAGAAGCCAAGCCTGGGGACATCAGCTGGGAGGACATAGCAAAGCCCTGCTGCTCAGGTTGGAACACAAGCCAAGCCAAAAAACCAGCCCCAGGCCACGAAAACATGTTGCCTAGGGGCAGGGAAGGCCAGGAAAGCCTGAGACCCAGCAGTGCTTCCGGGCTGCTCCAATTAATCAGGAACAACCTTTCAGGCACAGGCTGAGGTAGGAGCTTGCAGGGCTGGTAGGGCAGCTTCCACAGGGCCCACCCTGACCTTTGTGATTCTCTTTTTAACTCCCACTTGCTTTCCACAATTGCCCTTAGAGCACAGATCACTGAACCCCACACTGCAAAAGCCCAACTTGGACTCAGATCACCCAATATCCTACTGTAGCCACAGCCCCAGCCTGGCAGACACAGCATCTCCCCTGACTGGCAGCTCATAGCTCAGCAGGGTATAACTTGTTGAAGTCTGCAGGAATTCAGGTGCCTAACTCCCTCCAGCTCCTTGGAAAATCCCCTTTGAATCTCTGCCCAGCTCTCTCCAAGGCCTGTGCTGCAGTTCCTTTCTTGGCCCCGCATCCCCCTCCATGCTCCATTCAGCCATGAGAAAGAGCAGAGCTCCAAGTCATTCGGGGTAGAAGAGAGGAAAAAACAGAGCGAAAGGCTTTGATCCTTGAGAGCAAATCTCCCCAAAGGAACAGTCTGTCTGCTGGGCGCCAGTCCGCGGTGGGCTGAGAAAGCGAATGGTCTGTCTGGACTAGAGAGGGGCTGGCAGAGCTGACAGGAACTGGGAGACGGTCTACAGGGAATGCGTTCACATGCTTCAGTCTGCAAGCCCTTTGAGGCAAAGGCTTGTCCAGCAGTCTTTACCCCAACCAGGCTAAACATTTTGGAAGAAGTATATCATGGGGTGGCGGGGGGAAGAGCTGGGCAAAGCTTCCTTCTACCCCCACCGTTCTGCTCCCTCTGGTTTCTATGACAGGGCAGGGCCCAGCACACCACAGCCCTTTCCAAACCCTCTCTCATGGGAGCCCATTTCCCTAACAAAGCCAGGCTGTGGAGTGGCAGAGGAAGGGTTAACCCTCTGCCAGGGAGACTAGCAGGCTCCTTCCTTTGATCCTGCGGTGGGAAATGTTAGAGAGGTATGTGGAGCAGGAAGCACGAAGAGAAGGGAGCTGGTCCCAGCACAGGCCGGTCTGTCCATCTGTCCAGCGCTGCACGGCCAGCCGGTTTGTGCCCCCCACCCCTAGCAGCAGGACGAAGGGGTGGTAGAGCAGAAGCCCTCCCCTCTGCCAGCAGCACACGCCAGGTGCAGCACCCTGTGGCTGACAGCCCCTGTCCATCCTCCCAAGACCCAGCCATCCACACGGCTGTAGTCAGGGCCAAATTCCTCCGGAGGATTCAGGCTAGCCTTTGCTTCCAGCAGCCAATAAAATGGAGGTTAAATTCCCCCCATGGAGACCCACCCAGAGAAAGGGGGGTGCGATTCTCCCCACTGGGCAGGGGAGGGAGGACCCAGTTTGAGTTCAGGAACTGGGCCAAGATCTGAGCAGCACCGAGATCTCAGCTGGATACGGGGGGGTGAGAGAACATCTCGGTAACCCACTGGTGAGAGACACGCAGGATCCGGCGCCCAGGGAGAGGACCGAGCTGCTCCCCTTCCTACAGGGATAGCAGCAGGAAACCAGTTGCTTCTCTCCGGGTCCGGCATGGTACGGGGATGGCTAGATCAGCTCCATGTAGGACCTGATCCTAAGGTTTATGCTGCCTTTGGGAACCCAGGACCTCCTCGCGCTGGACTGTGCGCACACCGGACAATGCGCGCACACCTTGCCCTGGGCAATTCCAGAACGGCTCTAGAGGAGCCGGATTTATTTTTCCCCATGGGAACAGGAGAGCGAGATCTCTTGCCTTTCTGGGTGAACACCACCAGGCAGGGAGTTAAATTTAACTCTTGGCGTGTGAGAAACTTAATCCGTCTCCACAACACAGCAACCAGAAGCGGAGGGTGGGGGGAAAGCAATGCCTGGCTTGACAGGCGCGCATTTTTCTGCAGTTCTGTCACTTCCGTGACGCAGGGAAAGCTTGTTCCTAGGGAAAGGGGCCAATGACGTGGCACAGACGCAGTGGGCCAGAGCATGGGCAGACATACACATGCCCTTCCTCCCTCCTCCACCCCTTTTTATCACTATGTGCAGACGCGGTTGTACGTTGAGTCATTCAAAATTCCCTGACGCTTACACTTATGCAGACTTGAAACTACCAGGGTGCCATGAGGCTGGGTTTGTTGCATCCCCCCCACACACCCACCCCGTCTCACGGGGGTCACCCAAGCAGCACAGCAGGGACCCGGGCTCCAGCGAGGGGACAGGCACACACCCCAGAGCCCGGAGCCACGTGTGTAGCCGGAGTTAAGGAATCTAATGTTGGCTCAGCCTTTCCTCCGCCTCCGCCCAGCCACGCGGTTCTCAGGAGTCTGACTTGTAGTAACCCCTGACCCAGGCTTTGGCATCAGCGGCGCCAAGACCTCAGCGCTTGCTCTGCCTGCCTCCCCATTGGCAGCACTGGGGTGGTGTGTTCCTCCCTGCGACACACCCCCATTCCTTATGGTTTAACGGCTTCCTCCTGCCCCGGCAGCCACTTCCCCAGTGCGTGCCCTGGGCTGGCAAGAAAACAGGACCTTGGAGTCATCTGCAAGGGGAAACCACGAGGGGTGGGGGGGCATTGAACAGTGAAAGTGGGGAGTGTTGGAAGTCACGCCGAGTCAGAGACCAGGGCAAGGCTGAACGGGAGGTTGGATCTGATGGAGGAGGGAATTCCCCAGGGAACAGATCGCAGCAAGGGACCAAACAATGTCAGAGTAGTAGGGGGAAGGAGCAGCTTTTAAACCTGCAGCCTTATCGGTTTATCCCGGGCTCAGGAGACGCAAGGAACCCAAGGTTGCCTTTTGTCAACACCGGCCTGGCACAGCTGTACGGGCAGGTGTGCAAGCCAACAAGTCACCTTTCCTAGGTTAAGAGGGACTGAACAGTTCAGACCTCAAGAAGCAAGGGTTGTACCCACTGGCAATCAGTGCTATTGCAGAGTTAGGGGTGAAAAGTGGGTGAACCCAGGCGATGGGCGACTGCGAACACAAGAGCCAGCCATTCCTGACCATGCAGTGAGCTCGGAGAGCTTTACACTTGGCAAATCAGCTCTCAGCACCCAGGAACAGCAAGTGTAAACCCCCCCACTCCCCTGCCAAGTAGGGAAACTGAGGCAGGCAGGTCCTGCACTTCCGCCATCCTTGCTTAGGGCATGCTGTGCCTTACTGCGGCTGGCTCCAGTGAAATCAATGGGAGGTGATGTCTAGGGAAAGCAGCGGGCCAAGCCCAAGCAGCACTGAAGCTGTGACCAGGAGCCATCTCTCTTGATGGCTCAGCACCCTGCTTCCCTCTGTGCAGTAAGGGGCTGGGGTGCCCGGCCCAGTCCAACTCGGAGGCTCAGTGCAAGAATAGGCGGACAGCACACGGGTCTGAGACCTTTGGGGCCTTACTCCCCACCCCCAGCTTTAACACCACAAGATTATACCACGCGAGAGAGAGACAAAGAGACTTAGGGGGTGGAATATCCACCCTGTCTGCTGAGCCTGGAGTGTGCCCAGACGGCACTGCCCAGCGTGCTGAACCCTCAGGCTGGGGGACACTGCAGCAGACACAGCTGGGAGAGGAACTATTTTGGGCTCATGCCTGAAGCTTGCTTTAAACACAGCAGAACACCGCAGCTTTCATGAGGGCTATTCCAGGAAACCCCCAGGAGCAGAGCTATAATCACCAGCTGTGGGGAAAGAAGTGGGTGCCTCTAATTTCCACCTCTCCCTCTCCGCCCCACCTACTGCATCAGGGATCCTGGCAGGGCTGGGGACCCAGCCTGCGTCTTCAGCAGCTTGGCAGATGCAGTCTAAACCTCCCTCATGCTGCCCTATGGTTGCATCTCTATCCTCACCCAGAGATGTCCCCTCTCGGGGCAACAGCTGGAGAACGGTTCTCCTCCCCCAATGCTTCATGTGGGGTGGCACTTTGGGGGTCTCCCTCTGCCAGCCTATTCCACAGAGCTCCCTGCAGGATGATAGCTGCCAGCCACCAGCATCCCAGAGGAGAGATGCTGTAGCCATGCCCCCAGCATCCTGGGTCAGCAGGGTCCTGCTCACCCCTGCACCTTTTGGATGCATCTCACTTCAAGGAGCACTGGGGGCTCTGCTCTGGAGGGGTCAGAAGGGACTGAGCCTCCCTGCCTAGCCCCCACAGCCGGTGGCCTTCTCTTCCATGAGACATGTACTTGGAGCAGCTGCTGGTCATGTGATTTCCAGCAGATCCCTCTTCTTCCCCTCTAGCTGCAGGATTAGCTTGTGCATCAGCCATGCGCCCCCACCCACTGCTAGCGCTAGTGCAGGACTGCAAAGCCACCTGTTGTGCTGGAGACCGACAGCTCTCGGGATTCCCAGGGAAGCCAGGA